GATGGGTTGACAGCATCCGATGCTGTAGACCCTTCTAACGGTGGTGGTAGCGGCAACGGCGTTGGACCGGGCGGGGCAGGAGGCAGTCGTAGCAAGGGTGCGGGGAGGAAGCCCTCATCGTCGAACAACGGCGATGGAAGGGAAAGCGGCGGCAGTCATGCAAACAAGTCCTCTTCTCCCTTCTCGACAAACAACCAGACGAATTCAGCGTATCAGTCTTCTGGTGGAGGGAGTGGCGGCGGTGGCGGTGGCCCTACTGGTGCTGCTAATGCGGCGGCGACGGCGGCAGCGTGGGGGTCGAAGATAAGGCTGGATATCGTAAGGGCGGACGCGGAGAGAGGTGCTGGGTTGACTCCACGTTCCCCACGCCGTTCCCCACGTCCTGGGGGTGCAGGTGGCGGGGGGACCGCAGCTGCGTCAGCTAGATTTGACTCCCCCGCGAGAGAGCTGCTTCAAGCGTACGAAGATGAACAGGTGGGTGGTTGAGTGGGCATGCAACAGCTTCGGGGAGGCGCTAGTACTTGTGGAAACAACAATCACACGTACGTGTCGATGGTGGGTGGACATACAGACACTCGTACGACGGCATATAATTATCATCGAGAGTTGCAGACCTATAGAATGTACTTCAGGAGACGTAAGGGCCGGACCGCCCAGACGAAGGAGTTGGTATTGTGCTTTTTTGGTCTCGACGTGCGTTGGCGTGTGCATGAGTGTGAGGTCCGAGCGTATTCTGCAGCATGATATGAAGATCAATATATATCCGCATATGCCAAAGATTGCAAATATCAAGGAGATTTACCATGGTACTTTCCAGTGCTTGTTTGCTGAAGAGACACGTGGCGAAAACATCCCGTTTCGCACCGGGACTTGTACTAATGCACTCCTTACACGCCAGCCTCCCTTGAAGACTCTTTCCTTCATGCAATTCCCTCCGCCCGACCCCTTCTTCAGAAGAAGTTACAGTCAGCTTTTTGGCAGGAGCAAGGGATTGCCAGAAAAAAGCGAGAGGAAAAGGCGAAGGTGAGTGCGTACGTCTATTCTCCCGAGGGTGTTAGTAATTTGAAACACCACTCCATCCTCCGGCCCTGACCAAAGACACCACGGGTAGCAGGTTGAATGACCGTTTCCTCAGTGATTGTGAGGCAACCGCATAGAACAAATAACCGAAATGAACCGCCTCGATCGCGTGAGCTGGCACCTTTATTGGCAATTTTCAGGCAGAAGGAGTTTCCAAAAAGGAACGAGAGGCGGCTGAGGCAGAAGAAGGGCGCAAGGCCGCCAGAGAGGCCCCCCAGGTTCGTCGAATCCCGATACATTAAAAGACTGTGTAGCAACGTTGACGCCATTCCAGGAGCGAATCTGAAGTTTGGGGTAAATGATTCCTCGGCGCAACTGTGTGCGTTCGCTTCCAGCAATAATTCGCCGCACCTAAGGTCGTACCTGAGTTGCGCGCGTTTGATTCCATGCGATGATAGCATGAATTGATCGGTACGAGGACGGATCCGAACGGTTGAAGTCTAGCTAATCCACGGCGACAGCCAACAAGCAGCAGCGCTAGTGTGAAATTTTTTGTTTCCCTTTCTTGGTGAGGTGAGGACGGGGGTGGACGAGGGGGGTGATTGCAGTCCAACAAGGCGCCCTCTATTCGGACAACGGTTATAGTTTAGCCGCCGACGCAACCTCGCCACCAACGGGCGGTTACGGCGGACGATGGAAGCGCTCACCGTAGTAGCCTGGGCCCACACACTAGACAGCAAGACAAGAGCTGACAGGGAAATCAGGAATACGTTGTTGACACGTCGTCTACATTGCTGGGGCACTATTCGATCACACTGAACGATTTGAGCAGGTGAAAGAGATGCACGCCGTGGCCTGGCTGGATATGCCCTTTCTTGCGGTCGCTCCTCCGCCGTCTCCTCTTGAAGAAGGCCAAGGACGAGGTCGAGAGGTATCGTCCGCTACGCCACGCAGTGTTCGGTCAGCATCTGCTGCTGTCATCCCAGGGGGAAGCGTTCATCGTACAACCGTGAAGACTCCCGGTGATGGCCGAGGGTGAGAGAGAGACAGGCACGTGGAATGAGGGAGGAAATGTGTGTGTGTGACAGAGAGCGAGAGCGAGAGAGGGGCGGGGATGTTGGCCACATATCGTGATCGATAAATGTGGAACCCTGGGAAAGCGGAATAACCACAACACAGCGAGAGACCGGCGTACTGTCAACATGTGTATCTAGAAGATCAAACCCTGACGTCCGGTCCCAACAGCATTGAGCGAACTGGCTCGACGCACGTGGGCATTTGGGTTAATGTATACCACTTGTCTATGGGCTGGCCCGTATCGTTCCTCAGGAAGCACAGAGCGAATGGGAGATGATACATCCTGCATCCAAACACAGAGACCTGGCTGCCACCGCTGTTTTGCCCAGGCCGTTGGGGTCCCCTACAGGCAGCATCGAAACCGCCGGGGGTGGATCAGGGTCAGGGGCGGGGCAGACATCGCTGCTTGCGGCGCTGGCAGCGGAACGGGATGCAGCCTTAGAGCTTGAGGCGGCGGAGGCTAGTGCAGCAGAAAGGGTGGCGCGGGAGTTCAGGGGCTTCTTCCAAAACATCCCTAGGGTAGGTATTTTTTTGGGGGGGGACGGGCGTCGTTCTAGTCGTATTTTTGGCACCGTGACGTATACCTAGAGCCTCATTTTCAAAGCCGTCATTACTGCGTGGACCGGGAAGTCGGTTCATCAAAGGCGGCGTGAGGTCAAAACGAGATTGTTTTAGGTAGATCGGTGCGGTTGTTGCAAGATAACTTTATCCTTCTTTACCGTCGCCTGTTTCCGATTGTTGCGACATCAAACGAAATCGGGACTGTCACGATGGGACGAGCTTCTTCACCGGGTGTGCCCCCTGCTCGCCGAGTATGGAGAACTTTCAACGATCAAACGATCTATCTGTTCCACACCTCAATCGTCGCCCCCCCCCCGCCCCAACTCTACCGGATTCAATTGCGACAATGAAAACCAAGGACTACCGAAACGAGCTCGGATTCACCGATGTTCTCGTCACCGTCGTTCGCATCCGCTACGGCAATAACTCCCCGAGAACCTTCGCTGGGGCTGGGGCTGCAACTCCTCGATCCCCTCGCCAGCCCGTGGGCCGTGGCTCCAATCCGACAACAACGACAACAGGTAGAGAGATCTAGGGCATTGTTCGGCGTGAAAAATGGTTACCCTAGTGGGCGGGTAGGTAGTTTACCACGCGCGCGGGAGCGATGTCCTGAATACGAACGGACGACGGAGCGCCCGTGCGAAGAACAGGGCGATGCTGGCAATGGCAGCGAAGTGGTGTTGCTGGGCGACGCAGCAGCTACATATCTCACTGGACGAAAGGGAGACTATGAGCAAGAGACCGTCAAGGGCGCGGTCGGAGTCGTTACAATCTGACACGTTACTTCAACGGACGCTATGACCAGTAATGAGCACACCGCACACCAAGCGCTCGTTGTCCACCCCAGGGGACCCATCTGCCACCTCTGTTGTCGTGTTGAGTTCATTCACGGTCTCCACTCTACCCATCACCTCCAAAGCATCAGCGGCAAAACCGACGGGTAAGAGAGGCAATTTCCGCAACAAACGAAAAAATTCGTTCGTTAGAGGGAGAATACATACACGGAATGTGCACAAAGCCCCACCGCAAAGCCGATTCACGGAACACAACCGCAGGAACAGAGCGGTATCGCCCAACGATAGTGCCCGCAGCCACCGTGCATTCGACAGAGCCACAAATTCGAAGAGCCTTGGCCGTTTTTCCGACTACGAGCATTTCGCTCGCGTTTCGGGTGTTCATCCTTCAGGGGCCGCGGCGGTGGCAGCTTCGTCGAATGTCAGCCCACGCGGAGGTGTAGGCGCTTCAACGACGAGTCGAGGGGCGCGGCGCGTGCTCAGGGTGGCCTTTTTCTGGGAAACGGACCCTTTTGAAATGTCTGCCCCCCCCAAGACGGAACGTAACGAGGTGGTTGTCTTACAGTCTACGTGCGTGGATTTCAGAAGAAATGGCGAGGAAAAATGCGTGCGGCGAACAAAGTCGTAGATCTTGAACCTCTTCTCCCTGTGATGCCAGAGGTTTGTGGATGGTGTGAAACAGCTCGGGATGGATGCCAACACCAGCTGTTGCGGGGGGAGAAGGGACGCAGCCGATAGTGGCCTTTGAATGCACATGGGCCCAAAAACATGTCTTTTCCAGCCAACCAAAGATGTGGTTCAACCTTCGTTACCACTGTTTTGTATTTGTGTTGCAGTTTTGTTTCCAGCGTCGTTTCCTCCTTGACGGCGGCTCGTCAGCAGCCTTATTGTTTTGCGCCCCCCTTCGACCGACCTTTGGCCTCACTCAAACTCGCCCGAAACCTACTTGTTCCACCTTTGCCCTGCGACATGCCACTCCTTGAACGGTAATGATTCAGGGCTCGGACGGCCAGTCGGCGACGGTCCATCACCCGTTGGCGGATCTAGTGTACAAGCTCACAGTACAGGTATAGTCTAGTCCTACCCAGCGGGAACTTCAATCATGGTAGCGCTTGCTCTTCGCACACCTGGTGCAGTTCGCCACGCAGAAGTCAGATGTGGAATTCGTGAGCATTTGCGTGAAGGGTGGTATTGAGGGTGCCTAAAGGACAAGAAGAAAACGGGATATTGTTCGAAGAACAACGGAGAACAACAAGATTTGGCTAAACCAGTTGGGGCGGATAGAGTAAGTGGAGACAGTCTTGGGGAATGGTTCAGGCCGTGTGCTAGACATACATGTTGGCATTTACGACCCGATCTTAATACTGCCTATCCTACTTACTGTTTGTCTGCGTCCACAACGCATGTGCCTTTATTCATGCTCTGAACAACCCCGAAAGCAACCATCGCCATTGTGTTGTTGCTCTTTTAGTTGTTGCTGACGCGAGCGCTAATGGTGACTGGCTGCTGTTCTGCAACACGTTTGACGCACGGTCGGAAAAGTTGGAAATGACAGCTTCGATGGGAGAGGTGCTAGACTTCATGGAACCGTGGAAACACTTCAAACGGAGGTACGTGCAGAAGTTGTGCGTTAGGAGAGACTGGTGCTGACGTTCAGTTGTGATTTTTTGCAACGAGCGCTACTTTCGACGTTTCCTGCACACTATTCCGCCGATTCGGACCATCTGTTGAAGGACATTTCCTAGAATAGTTTCAATTCGACGACGAATTTTCAGAATCTCCAGTTGACAAGACCATATACGATAAAGTTTGGTTACGATCTGGATTGCTATCGCTGTCGGAACTGTTCGCGTAGCCCTTGTAGTCACCGTAGCTACCGTGGGATATACGAGAATGAGAGGTGAATGGATGCTTTCGCGGTAAGTGGCATGTATCACATTCTTCACTTACTGAACTTGCCCCAAGACAGGTTTCGTTCTTTCGGTGTCTTTCATGTTCTTCTCTGAAGCTTTCGTAGTTCCGTGTGCATATATAGCCTGCATGCTCAAGGTGGCGCAATGATGTCGCCAATCCTTGAACAGAGGCCTACGGTTGGTTTCTGATGCACGCGGACAGTCCGTATGTGTATGTGTCGTTTCACAAGGTGCCTATTGTGCGACGTGTCAAAGAGATCCACGACGAACATTCACGGGAAAACGGACAGAGTTGCTGACCTGAACAGACTGTGGTTGTTCTTCCAATTGTATCATTCCCCTGCAAGAATCAACTCTGGATCCAATGGCCTCCTGCCATAACCCCTGCAGATTGTACGGCCCCCAAGAGGAGGAGCTCCCGAACGACTCAATCGACCCACGAACGTATGCCAGGTAAGGCGCACCAAACATCATGCCGCACCAACCGGGAGTGACGGGAGTGAGCGTTTATTTTACGTTGTCTTCCTTCGGGAAACGTGTTCTCCAGAAGCGTTCTGTTTGCATGCTTTGTTTTTCGTAGCCACGAGTTTTCACTATCTTTTCCGGAATGAAGCGCCAGCTTCACACGGGGAACGATCACAGCAAACACTACATCACACATGCAAGCCATTGAGATTGGCTCTCGCCTATTCTACCATATCCTTCCGCTATTGAAACCACGAAACCGTTCCGAGAAGGAAGTTATGACCGTCTCAGGGTGCGTCGAAGACAATTTGCTAAAGCACTGGCTTCACCATCATCCCCGGTCGTACCCCTCTCTGTCGAACCCCGTACACCTTAAATGTTTTCGTCTCTTCCATGTGCACACCTACTCAATCAGGGAGGTTCTAGAAGAGATCGAGCAAGCTTCAGAACTCCTGGAGCAAGTGCCGTCCATGAGCTTCGACCGACTTCGCCCCGTCCTCGCCAAGCATGGCCTGAGCGAGGTCGGCACTCTCGCCGATCTTTCGGCCCGGGTTACAAGGGCCTTGGAGGGGAGGATCAAGGGCGCGGCGGGGGGCGGGGCGTTAAGCAAGTTCGGGGAGAGGGCGGCTAGAATGTTGTTCCGAGCGGCCGGCAAGGTGCGTGTTCCTCTATTGCAGGACGTGCAAGGGAAGCAGAACACAGAGGGGTACCCAAGGTAGTCACTGGATACTCTCATGCGGATATGAACAGCTGTTGGACCCTCGAACAATGACATGAACACAGCAAGCGTTTGAGCCGGTCGCGAGCAGCTGGGGCGAGTTCATGTGGTCGGATCGCCACGCGGTAATGAAGTGCATGCATGTGAAGCAGGGTGCCCGCCCTGGGTAGCTTCGAAACCATGAACAAAAGAGCTATTGCTGTTTCAAAGGAAGGGGGTCGCTCCGGACGGGACACGGAAAAACTTGTGTTGTATTTTCTTTTTTTGGATTGGAAACCGTGCGTTTTGGTGTAGCGAAAGAAAATGGCTGAGTTGATGGAAAGGAGGGACGGGAGGGGGGGTATTGCATCGAAACACCACCGAGCGCTGTCAGCCGAGAGCAGGACGGGGCGTGGTTTATGTGGAAACCAAAGATGAGTGCATGCTACGACGCGGGGTCCATCTGATGCGTGAAATGGTGCACGCGCAAAGTTAGGGACGCGGATGGACTGGCAGGAATTCAAAGGGAAAACAGGGCAGTAACGATGAGGGGCGGGACATCGTTTGTTCCCACTTGGTAGTATTTCCTACGGTCGTAGGACATCAGGCACCAACGTTGGGCAGACACTCTATCGTTTCAAATCCCACCGAGAAAGGGGCATCTCGAAGAAAAGTGGGAAATGACGTGCTTCGATAGAGACCTCAGGCAGTCGGGATAGAAGAACGCGTTAGGTTGCGGGATGTACACGGTAGGTTATGGTCGCAGGCGGAAAGAGCTGTCGAAACCGAACGGCCTCGCTGAGTGCGATGGGACATCACACATCCCATGGTTTCATCCGTGTTTTTTCTTTCCCCCTTGGAACAAACACAAAACCTCTGTCTTGCTCGGATGCAGGATCTCGATGGAGGCTTAAGTTACTCGGAGATGGTAGGCATGCTGCGGCGGATGGGGATGCGGGCCACGCAGGGCGCGATGCCCACTGAACTCG